GCTAGATGTAAGGTACACAAGCACCTCAGAAAAATATGACCAGCATCATGGATATCATTGTCTTATTCCTGTGTTTAAGTAGGAATGTGTTTGGTGTTTGAAATGATTACTCTTTTCCATGAAATGGGATATTTTTATTTCACTGAGAGTATTACCACAAATAAATGTTAAATGTCTCAATTAGACAAGTCTGTAGAGAATCATATGATTTTTTTCTTTTGTGCATAACTGAGATAATGTTTTCAATGAAAATCTATTATTAAGCCATCCTTGAATTTTTAGAATGTACTTTATTCATGAAAAAATACCTAGTGTATTTGTGTTGCTAATATTTTAGTTAAAGCAAATAAAAGTTTTTTGTTTTGTTGGTTTTTAAGGGTTGTATTAAATTTAAAAATAAATTGCAAAATGTTTTATCATTCTATAAATCTTGGATATTTAAATAGCATAAGAATTAGTACTCGAAAGTTTTGAAGAATTTGTCCATAAACCTCTCTGGGCTCAACTCCTCCTCTGGAGAAAGTTACTCAAACATCAAAAGTATGACTTCCACAAGTACCAGTTTATTTTGGCTTTTTAATTCTTGTTGAGTTCATTTTCCCCTGAAAATTGCTTATTTCATTGTGTTTTAAGTATCTGTTTCCATAGTGTTACAAAACATATTTTTATAACTAAAAATTTGATTCACATCTGTGTTTGTATTGTCAAGTATTTGTCTTTCTCTTCCTTTCAATTAACATGCCAGTAGTTTGCATATTTTATTGATATCTGCATAGATATTGCATTTATCAATTAACTGTCAATTCTGCTAGTTTTCTGGTGCCTTAATTTATGCTTTTAATTTCTTCTTGCATTTTTCTAAGATTTACCTGTATGTTTTCTACTTCTATTTGCTATATAATTTATTAAATTTTTGGATAAAAATAAAAGTCTATATATTTTTTCTTAAAGATAGCTTTAGTCATATCTAATAAGTTTTTTTGTGAGGTGTTCTTTTCTCATTAGGAGGAAATTAATTATTTTTGTCTTTAACATACTTTTTTTTTCCCTTCAGAGTTGAGCTTTAAATTACTTTGTTAGGTGATACAGTCTTTCAAAAATTAAAAACTAAGAATGTATACAATGAACAATCTCCCACCAGTGTTGTTGGCCCATCAGTCCTGTTTCATACTCTACCATTAAACCCAGGATCTTTTGCACTTTTATGTAAACTTTGAAAGTTCTTTGCATATATGTAAGCAAAAAATCCATGTTTTTATCTCCTTCACCATCTTTTTAATACAAAGAATAGCATATTATACACAGTAATACATTTCTTCTTAAAATTCAGGGTGAAGTTTTAGAAAGTTTCCCATGTTGGCACACAGGAAATATCATTTCATTCCTTTCCCTTCTCTTTTTATACTACTCTCTCTAAATGGTGTTCTACTGAGTGGAGCTACTATATAGTGTGTTAAACCAGTGTCCTACTAGTGTATCAATTGCTCCCATTGGTTTTTATGATAGAATGCTACTACTGTTTAGATCTAGAATGATCCTCAAAAGTCTGATGTTTTCAGAAGTGGGGCTTTTGCAAGGTGACTGGCTGGTGGGTATCTTTTATTCATCAGTGGATTGATCTATTGATAAGTCCATACTTAAATGTGGGGCTTGGCCGACAGAGGTTTGTTATGAGGGTTGTGCCTTTGGTCCTCCTTTCTTTCTGCTTCCTGGCTGTCATGAGGTGAGCAGATTTCCCCTGTTGTCATGTCCTTCCCAAATGTTCTTCTACCATGATGTTTTTTAAAATTTACATTTTTATTAGAACATATTTGCAGCATATAATGATCACATTCATCATGGAGAATGTGTACATGTACATAACACATCTTAATTCTTTTTTTGTCAGCTTCTCCCTCTCACTGTAACCCTTCTTCCTCTCCCCACTTGCACAAGCTCTAAGTGAAATGAATCAGACACACAAGTTTAAATACCACATTGTTTCTCTTGTGTGAGAAACCCAAAGTATAAATATGGAGCAAAAGATGATAGATATTAGGGAGTAGGAGGAATTTTACCACAATATTTCTGTCTTGGAGTCAACTTACCATGGACTGAACCTCCTGAAACATGAGCCAAATTAAACCTGTCCTCTTTTAAATTGTGAATATTGGTTATGGTATCCAAGTAATGGGAAAACTCACTAATAAACAGGCTTTGGGAAATTAATAAATATAACACATGTAGAAATATGTCTGTTAGCATAAATTCTGAGAAACAGAAGTGCTAAGTCAAACTATTCATGCATTGGTAATTTTAGATACAAATTTTCTGGAAGGGTTATAAATATTTGTACTCCTATAAGCAGTTATGAAAGTGCCTTTGGTTTCTTATATGGTCTAATAGCATGTTGTCAGATTTTAGGACTTTGGCCAATCTAATAGGCAAAAAATGATATTTAGTGTTAACTTGTGTTGAGATTGCATTCTTTATATGTTTAAGAGATTCTTTTTCCTCTGAATTACTATGTCTTTTGCCATTCTTTCCTGATTAGGCTGTTATTTCCTTCTTTTGCAAGATCTTTTTACGTATTAGGAAGGTAACCCTTTGTTATATAAATTGTAATTCTTTGCCTCCTATTGTGTGTGCAGGTGTTTTACTTTTATGTAACTGAATTTATTAATCTTATTTTATGAGTATTACACCATGATTCTTAGACCTTTCCTACTCCTGGAAAAGGCTAGATTTTTAATATTTTCTTAAACATTAAATTTTTTTGTTTGTTTGTTTTTTTTGAGACAGGTCTAACTATGTAGTTGAGACTGACCTGGAACTCGCTATGTAGCCCAGGCTGGTCTCAAACTCATAGCAATCCTCCTTCCCCAGCCTCCCGAGTGCTGAGATTACAGGTGTGCGCCACCACACCTGGCTTAACATTACATTTTTGATTCATTCAAAATGTGTCAGAATAAAAGGCAGAAGGTATTGATCCAGATTTATTAAAAATTCAGATGGCTTTCCAGAGCTTAGTGAGATTTATTAAACCATTCTTCTACCCTAATTTTTATTATGTTACCATATATGGTTATTTTTATTATTGATCTATTTAATTCCTCCCTCGGTGTATCATGGTCAGTCCTATACTGTTTTATATAATGAAGTGTTTTTAATATTTGGTTTCATTAGTTTACACCTTTATTGCTGTTCATTTCTTCAGACAGTTCTTAAACATTTGTTTGCTAATTTTTACATATGACTTTCAAGATTAAATTACTTGATTTCATAAATAAATATGTAAATAGAAAAGTTGGTATTTTTACTGAGTTCATGCTGAATTTATAACTTCAGATGTGGCATAATGATGATACAACATTTACTGTAGAACATGGCATGTTTCTACTTGTTAAAACCTTATTTCACATCGCTTGATACGTAATTTTCTTTATAACTTTGTTACTACTGCAAATGAAACATTTTCTTTCCTTATTTCTCATAACCAGTGTATGTGAAAACTATGGATTTTCATATATTAATTTTATACTCTATTACTTTATTAAATGATCTCAATTTTCAAGTGATTTTTCCATTTCTTGTTTTAGGTGTGTGTGTGGTCGACTGTAGTTTCCAAATCTAGCCTCCAATGTATTCTAATCCGGTGTCTTATTTACAGTGTGACAACGATCCTCCTCCAATCAAGAAGTTGGGATCTATACTCCCTCCTCCCCTGTGACGACAGCAGAAGTGGGTGTTACTACCGATGCCGAGTCACGTTAAGAAACATAGCTTCCACCTGGACTTGCTGGGGCCAGGCCACCATATTGTGATAAAGCCAAAACAGAAATGGCAGTCAACCACATGGGAGGAAGCAAAGCAGCCACTTGCAAAGAACACACAGTTGTCTGAGTCACACTCTCAGCTGAGGTCTCAGGCAACAGCCAGTACTAGCCACTGGACATGAAAATAAAATGTGCCCAGATCACTTTAGTCCCAGCCTTCAAGCAGGTTCCTGCCTCCAAGTCCTGCCTAAGCTGCAGTCTTGTTAGCAAAGTAAATGTTTGAAGCCCGTGAGTTTTGGGGTGGTTTTCTTGATGGTAAGAAATACCTAGGGTAGGTTTTGTGTACGTATATTTGTTCAAAATCATATCAACACAAAACTGTGATAATTTAACCTTTTTCATTTGTAACGCTCTATTTTTTTTTTCTAATTATAGACAAGAGATAAAGACCACACACTCAATGTGATGAGTGTTTTCCTCAAAATCCAGCGAGGCACATTAATCAACATACTTCTTTTCTAGTGGTAATGGATTTTCATAGTATCTTCAGGTATGTGTATGTTTTCTACGTAATTATTAGCTAAGCTTTTCTCCTTCAGGTTGGAATTTTTAATAAAATAGTATGTTAAAACTGGTTTTATAATATGTACTGTGAAATATACATATTTACTAACTATTAAAATATATCTACATTGGATTATCTGTAAATAAATAACCAGGAACATCCTAGAAACTTTTCTCTGTTCAGGGGGAAGTGGCCTTTGGCAGTAGTCAATGAGAATGATGAAGCTTGCTTAGTATGTATATATGCATGAGGCAAGGCGGGGAGAGAGATTTCTGGCATTTCTTAAATTACCAGTTAAAATTTGATAATTTTTACTAGTTGATCTGTCCTTGCATGGACAACCAACATGTGTTTGTGTTAAGTATATCTTATAACTCACATAACATTCTATTTCCTACCTTAAAAATCATTAAGGGAATTGAGATGTGTTATGTACATGTACCAACTCCACACAAGAAATGTAAACAGTATGTACTACAAACATGTGCTAATAAAAATTTAAGAAAATTATATTCAAGATTTTCTACATTAGTTTTTTGGGAATGATTTTTTAAAAAGCACATCTTTTAAAAATCAGAAACTTATAGGAAAGAACAGGTACAGTAAGCCCACTTTCAACATGTAATAGAAGGAAAATAAAGGAGACACTAATCAGGATTTTGAGATGCACCATGCGGACATTAGGTTTGGGTTTCTGGTCTTTATTAAAGTTTGCATCTGGGAAGACTGTCACAAAATTATATCAGAAGATCCAAGTACACTCAGGGTTTTGACAAAGTTGATGCCATTTTTACTAATATTGACCACAGAGGCAAGTGTGACTTGTACTGCAACAGAGACCATCTATGCTGATCCCCCTCAGGCCTGCAGAGTGGCCCAGGTTCATTATTCCAGCCATATTTAGGACAAAACACACCAATGCTTGGTCTCACAACTGCATCGCTGACTTTCACATAGTTCTGAAGTTTGACAAGTAACAACAAAATTTCATTCTTCCTTGATTAAATGGAATTATAATTGCAAAAATGAAAATCCAATGATCAAATTTAATCATGAAACTAGAAAAGAGATAAAAGATGTTATCAGTAATGTATTTGGAAAGAATTCTTCAAAGCACAATGTGGGTGATTTTGGAAACCTGTGTATTCTATGGATTTCTATATAAAAGGTGTCCTCCCTCCGGGCGGGATGGGCTGATGCCATAGCTTCCTTCCAGGGTTTCTGTGCTGCACTGCTAAGGCCCAGAGGGGAGGAGAACAATGGTGGCTTAAGCCCTCTCTTCCTTTTACACTTGGGTCTCATTCCAATTTAGGCTTCTCTTTCTCTTCTTCCATACCTAGAAATGAAAGCAAAGTGCTTTATTTCAGCATAGAATTAAATTACAAGCAGGTCTGCCAAAACTGTTCACAAAACTCTCTTCTCTCATACTTTTCCCACCCACTGTCCTGCATCTTCTTTTCTCCTAGCTAAGAGGGAAAAGGCATTTACAGCATTCTCTAGAATCACCCTCAGTGACCTCTCTCCTCAGCCTTTCTCTGAATCAGGATGCAGCATTTCCAGGACACAGCAGCTCCCTGCGTTTCTGCGTGTGAAGACCACAAGTGGATTCTTCTCTTGTGGAGTTTGCACTGAAACCCCAGCCAGAGGACGTCTTCCTCTTTGCCAGCTTCTAGTGACAGGAGCCTTAAGCCCCATGCCTTTCCAACAGACTTCATTTTTTTCTTTAAACTTTACTCCTTGATTTCCAAAAACCAAAACATCTTTTATCATGAATTTTCTGTAATTTTTTAAAAAAACCTCATAGGAACCTTACTAGTTATCAGAACTCTTTATTTCCATATCTATTTTTACTTTTTGAAAGTAAAATTAAAATTAAACCCAGGGTCTCATGCATGCCAGGAAAGTCCTCCCCCACTGAGCCACGCCCAGCGCCACACCTATTTGGATTTAAACTCTTCTCTAGTGAATCCAACCCTAAAATCTCATGCCTTATCTTCCTGCATGACCTGTGTGCTGGTAAGATCTGCCTGCTGTCTGTAGTGAACCATCGGATATCTCCTCCTCCTGGGGATGAAAGAGTTCCAGTCATTTTAAGGAATTTTAGCTCAGTTTAGAAATGTTCCCTGCTTTTTTGTCTCTAGTGAAACATTTTTCTAATCTTGCTAAATTCTCAGAGACTTCTTGTGTCTTTGTTTCAATAACAAACATGCAACAAAGGAATTCCAAATACCACCTTGAAGGTTTTGTTAGTATGCTTTTCTGAACTGCTAGCTCTCTGAGGACAGGACCTTTACCTCCGACTTCATCTCTAGCACCTGAAACAGTGTCTGTCTCAGAGAGGGTCATGGGGGAGAGAATAGAAGAGAGAGAGAGAGGGTAGGGTGGGAGCTCAGACAGCTGGACTAGCAAGCAGAGAAGCAGCACAAAATACGCAGCCCTACAATGTAAGAAATCATTAAGCCCAACCCCAGAGGGCCATAATTCTAGAGCCTACATTAGGAAACCCCTCCCCACATCCTAGTGCATATTTCACGGGGGTCAAGGGCACCGCAGCTGAATGCCAATAATTGCTACCGCAGTTGTCTTTGTGCAGTCCTTTGTTGGGTGGTCATGGCTAGGGAAATGGCAGAGGCCTGTTGCACATTGTGCAAAGCACTTCTCCTAAATCATGTTTAGAAACACTTGAGATTGAGGAGCAAGAACATCTATCTGAAAGGAGGAGGAACTGGGGTGATCCAATGTGGTTTCGCTGTTGGGTAGCCGAGGAAAAGGCAGGAAACACAACAGATCCATTCAAACTGCACATTGCCGAGTCCCAACTTCTGTCCCATGTTCTCTCCCCTGTGGGAGGCAGTCAGGGTTCACTAAGACTTTACTTTTCTTTCCAAAGTCTGTTTCCTCCAAGGCCTCTCCTGCTGATGGGCTGCAGTGGTAGCAGTGGTGGAATCTTCATGGAAAACAGGGCACTCAATGATCTAAACGAGGAAATGGCTCCTCACTTTAACTTGGCAGCTGTGAGGTGCAGAGTGGGGGAAAAACCCAGACAGCTGTAAACAATGCCTGCAAGAACCAGCAGTGCAATTTTCACACAAGAAGCAGAAAGAAACCTGCCACAGAGCCGAGGCAGGCTGTGCTTGTGGAATAAGACTAAGGGACACAGTCCCAGGCGCGCCTCAGTTTGGGAGAAGGGTTCCTGGGGCAGCGCCTCCACATTTCCAGCTCAGTGAGCCTGCAGAAGTGGCCTAGATGGATTTCTGCAGAACAAAGGGCTTTCTGCACACTCAGGCCTGATCCTCACCTCCTCTCCTTCCTCCCTTCTGGTGGAGGACCCTTGTGACTACTAGCTTGGACCCCTTTAATTGTGCCAGAGGCCAATAAGGCTTTTGAAAATTTTATACCAGCAGAAACACTGCTGTGTGGCTAGTAAAGGACAGAGGGTATGGAATTAAAGACCAGGGCCTCCAAAGTGTCTCAGGGACTCCAGCTGGGTGGGGATGCTGCCCAGGGCTAGTAAGGCAGAGTTGCTGGTCCCTGAGGTGAAGCCCGGGCCACTTCCTTCCCCAAGAGTCTTCAGAACACGGCATCTAGCCAGAAAAGATTATCTGAAGCCTTCATGGAAGGGAGTTCTCCCTGCTCACAATCAGCTGTGTTGTGAACCATGACCCTTGTCTTCCTGACCTTTCTCCTTTTGGAAGAGGTATGGATATAGTATGCCTGCCCCACCACTGCGTTTCAGAAGCAGATAACAATTTGTCTTGCTTCACAGATTCACACACAACTGGGGAACAATTTTGCCTCAGGATGAACCAGATGCAGAACTCTCCCATATCGGATTCATGTCATAGTTAAGATGTAATTTTTGCATTTAAGAGTTGATGCTGGAAAAATCTGGGGGCCACTAGGACTGAGTAAATATGTTTTGCATATGCGAAAAGCATGAATTTTTCAAGGGGAGAGGCTGGAGTGTTATGAACTGAATTATACTCCCCCCAATTCATATACTTAATTTCTAATCCACAGTGTCTCAGATTATGGCCTTATTTGGACAGGGTCTTCACAACTGTGCAGTGGTGTCTCATCGGGGTGGGCCCACATTAGATGTGACTGGTGTCCTTCTAAAATGGAAAGTTGGGGGTGGTCAGACATACAAGGAAAATGCCAGTGACCATGAAGATGGGCAACTGCAGCCCTGGAGAATCTGGGAAGAGACATTTCCTTTGCAGATCTTGTAAAGAAACAGGCCTACTAATATCTTGACCTGGGACTTCCAGCCTTTACATATGCAGGCCAACAAGTTCCTAATGTGTAAGCCTCCACGTCCATGGGCTTTGTTACTGCAGCCCTTGGAAACCAGACTTTCACAGAGTCATCATGGCCCACTTTCCTTTTTCACAAAGCAAACATTTGCTTATTAACTTAGACTATGTTAAGAGTTTCTTAAAGTTTCTATTTCCTAGCAGGCGGTACTCTTTCATTATTTTATAAGCTGAGTGTGGGGTTCTGAGTGAAGTCCCTGTGCGCTTAGTGTCTACGTCTCAGGGCCATTCTGATCACTCACTAGAAATAACACTGGACTGAGTCCAGGCAGAAGACTGTGGCTGTAGCCGGGTATGGTGTCACACGCCTGTAGTCTCAGCACCCTGTGAGGTTAAGGCTAGAGGATTACAAGTTCAAGACTAGCCTGGGTAATTTAATGACTTAGTGACACCCAGTCTCAAAAAAAAAAAAAGCCCAGGATGTAGAGTTCAATCATCAGTCAGTACTGGGGAAAAAAAAGATGTCAGCTCTACCAACTACTCTGGAGGGTCACTTAAGGTGTCTGGGCCTCAGGAGGCCTTGGTAAAAGGCAAGGGTTAGTAAAGCCCAATACAACTTCTTGGTGGGTAACATCTGGGGGGAGACCAGTCATTTGTGACCCTTAATATAAATGGGAAGATGCCTGCTTGACAGAAAACACTGGCCTCTAATGGAATCATCGAGAGAGATGTGAACAAAATTAATCCAACCTTACATTATGTAGGACAATGGCACAAACTACACTGATTAGGCCATTTAAAAAACTTTAACTTAGCTGTTCATTTTAACTCCTTGTTTAAAGCTGCTAAGGAGCAATATTTTTAAAAATCTAGATTGGATATTTATCTCTCCCGGTTTCAGGTCATCTTCTCACAGAAGGATTAGAACAATGGCCAAATGATTGGCAAAATCAAGCAAATTCAGAGGACATGAGCAGTCACAGATCTTTCCTACTTTGGACATATTAGTTTAAATCTGAATACATTCTCTATCCTAAGAGGGTGAGAAAGTTAAAAGTCTGTTTATTTTTGGTACTGGAGATCAAACTCCTCTCAAGACCTTATTCTTGTGAGGCAGGCGGCGGCACCACTGAGCTAAATCCCCCACCCCTTTTTTCTTTTCTTTTTTCTAGTACCAGAGATTGAATTCAGGACCTTGCGCTTGCAAGGCAGGCAGCGGAACCATTGAGCTAAATCCCCAGCTCCAAAAGTTTGTCTTTTAAAAAATTTTTGTCAGTTAACTAGATACTTCTTTAAATTAACTAACAGAGAAAGATGACTTCCATGGAAAAGAGGGAACACAAGTAAAAGATTTTATTTCTGGTTTCCCAACTATGGTCTCAAAAGAATTTGAAAAATAATATCTTGTAAATAGACAATGTATCAAACTGAGAGCCACTGATATAACTCCTGCAGACCACTTACCTTGGCCCAATACCTTGACCCATACAATCTTAGAAGACTAATGCACAGAGTGATTCAATGACTAAGTCATCACTGCTTTCTTCATATGTTAGACTGGGTTCCTGGGTTGAGTACATTGTAGGGCCCTCACTGCATATGGCACAGAATCCATTCATGGGCAACATCTAGGAGGCTGTGACTATGTCAGAGAGATGTCCAGAGCTCCCTAAAACCCCCATGTCATCTTGCCGTGGGAGGTACTTCTGTGCAGGACTCAAATCCCTGTAATTCTGTGCTATGTCTTTTTCCATCTTCCAGGGCTTACGTTATCTGACATACACTTTGCACAGGCTGTGCAGAGCTTGGACAAGATTACGTGCTTGGCTAAGATGGAGGCTCTGCCATACATGGAAACAAAGAGAGATCAAATCATAGGGTAGGGGGTGCTCAGAATGAAGTATGTGTCACCACTGACTGCCTGCGCCTGTTTGCCACCTCTGAACCTTGCAGAGGACAGTCATAGGGAATCCCTCTGGCCAGGCACTCTGCACTGCATGGAGTTCTAGCCTTGTGAGGTGGAACTCCTCTGAGAGTGGATGTCTGGGTGACTTTTAATGTGACTATTTGGTTACATTAATTGCCCATTTAATTTGGGGTCCTTTTGGTGAAAGTAGTATTTTGTTAGTCACAGCAACTTTCTCTAACTTGCTTTCTGTTAACACTATTATTTTTCCCTATAAAATTTTACAGACACACTTTTTTCCTCTTTAAAGTTGGATGTTTTACTGGCTAGTAAGACTGAATGAGCAGTAAATCTTTCAGGTAAAACAGCTGGCAGCTCCTAAATTATTATTATCGTTGTAAAAATGAAACTTCCTAAGAGGACTGTGCAAAGGCTTAACGAATGGGCTGCTGTGGAATTAATTTCTCCTCTGTATCTGCAGGAGCTCTGGAGGGCGGCACTTCTCTTGTTTTATGTCCCCTGGAACAATACTTACTTCTCTGTGTATCCCAGATATAGTTGTTCAGAACTTCTCCCAGAAGGTACAGAAAGTTCATCAAGATGGTTGTCGACCCAAAGAAGACAATTCTGGCTCCGGAGCCGATGTGTTCCAGGAAAGGGTACACCCACATGCCGGTGACGTGGTGCACCCAGCACACCCTGCCACGGGGTTGCAAAGGAGACAATGGGGGAGTTACTGTCACGGCAGAAGTCACAGCTGCAAGGCTGCAAGAGCACACGCCCCCCTCTGACCCTTCCTCAGCAGTTGCCAGTCACAAGTTCGCCATGGAGACTCAGGAGCTACCAGTAAGCTGGTTGTTTTTGTCTTTTGTGATGAAATGATTTTTTTTTTTTTGACTCATGGAAGAGGTGCGAACATGGGACAAAGAGTTCCTCTATGTCCCACACTCAGCCTGCTAATGTCTTGCTAACATCTGGCATGATTCTGGAATGGTTACTACAGCTAAGCAATTAACGGTGGTGTGCTAGTGCTAACTACGGTGTAGACCTTATTCAGAAGCCCCCTCAGCGTTTCCATTCATGTCCTCTGTCCCAGATCCACTCAAGGGTCCCTCGTTGCATCTAGTGACACGTTTCCTCAGTCTCCACTCTGGTAATTCCTGGGTCTCTCCTTGCTTTTAATAAAGGGTATTTGAAACTACTAGGTTATTTCATACTGTTCTATAATCTTTTAAATCTCTTCTTTACATAATGAAGCCACATAACGCTCACATGGTAATAAAACCTGGGTGTGTATGTGGCAGATATTTTGCCAACCACCTTCCAACCAGACACAATATGGACTGCACAGCTGGCAGAACCATCCTATGATCTAGCTGACACCAGAATTCCTGCTTCTCTGATCTTCACAGCCTATACTCGCTTCACTTTTTAAATTTTTATGGACTTCTAATCATTCTGTTTGTGTTCTGAAGATATTTTTGTCTTGGTGAGAAGAATATCATCAATTGCTACTGCTTTCCACAGTCAGAATGGCTGCAGCATTGGCTGGGTCCTGACATGACTGTTTTCCAAAATATTCTGGGGTTTATTACTTTACTGAGTGTCAATTTGGAAGATCAATAAAATACAAACAACTCTCCAGCCTGCTTGGGCCCATTCTGCAGGACTGGGTAGCCACTCCCTCCTCTGCTTGCTGTGCCACCAGCTCCAGCAAGGAAGGTAGCTGTGCCAGAGCCCCTGAAACACCCACCCACACATCCCCCCCACCCCATCCCCCACTCTCAGACCTCCTGATTGGGCCAGTCCTTGGACCCACTCAGCAGAGGCATAGGTGGTCATAAAGGGTATTTTTCTGAGCTGTCAACTTTGAATATCTTTAAAGAAAGCAGGGTTGGGGGGAACCTGTAATAGAACTGTGTGGAGTTCAATCCTGCAGGTTGGGGAACTCAATCTAGGCCTTGTGGCCTGTGGTTAGTCTGAGTCATGGGCATCTGCCATTGGTAGCTGAGATCAGGGGACTTGGTTCTGCACATGGCTGGGCACGTGGTATATTATGACAGCATAGATATAGTCTGAAAGAGGCCCTTCAAATTCATTTTTTTCTCTTTCTTTTCCTCATTCCACTCTGCAAATTCTTTCTTTTTTCTGTGCTCATTCTTCAACTCAGTCTCTTGCTCCACCATATTATCCCTCATCTCCCTTTCTGTTCCTGCTCCTGCCCTAATTCAGACTTCTTATTTTATCATTTTTTGTTTTTTCTTTATGTTCTTTTATTCTGTCATTTTACCTCACTCATGGGTCAATAGTTTTAAGGGAAAGTGAGCCCCTATTACTGTTAAGGGGATATGTTTTTGTCCTTATTCTTGCAATCTGTCTATCCCTTTTGAATTTAATAGTTTCTTAAAGATTGTATGGTCATTCTATGTCCTCTGGCTTCACTTGAAACCTCCAATTCTTTCACTTATCCATTCTTCTCATCCTAACTCTGTCTAAGACCCCATTCTAAATGGTAAAGATGCTATATTGAAAAGTGTATTCACTTCAAGCATATTTAGGGCTGCTTCTTGATTTTAATTTAATTCACATGGTTAAAAGGTGATAGATTAATGACTACCACAAGTGGTCAACTTGCAAGTTGTGCTTGATCCTATGGTGCTACTGATTGTATCAATTGGAATAAAGGATTGTGATTGATTTAATGAGTTGTTTTCTCCAATATTATGAAAATGAGAATGTCTATGAGTCATTAGCGACTCAAAAGCTAAAGTGCAACTATATCAGGAAGATTTAAGTAATAATGCAGAAATCAAACCAAGGACAACCCAATAACAAAAATAAAAATGAGAAAACACTTAAGCAAGACACCAAGACAGACTTTCAGTTCACCAATGGCAAAACTGTAGGGCAAATGAGGATGAAAAGTCTGATAGTGAACCAGCAGGACATCCTGAACTCATAGCACAGGAAGTAATAAAACAGATCAATCAGGATCTAGAAAAATTCACAACAGAAATAATTTCCCAGATAACCATAGAGATGGTGAGCAAAATGAAAGTCATGATTCAAGACTCTAGAACAGAAACTGACAAAAAAAAAAAAGAAAAATAGATGAGCTCAGGACCATGATAGAAGTGATGAAGGCTCAGCATAAGAAAGAAATGGAAACAGTGAGTGCTCAAAGAGGAAAGAAACAGAATCCATAGAACAGATTCAAACAGATACCTAGGAGATTAAAAACTCTATTGAAAGTGTTCGCACCAGAATAAAAGAATGTGAAGATAGAATCTCAGTTATAGAAGACAGGATTGCACTCAGTGACCATGAAAAGAGAGGTTTCTTAAAATCAGGAAGGGATCATGGGAAATTGATTCAACAACTCCAAGATGATGCAGAGAAGTATAACATAAGACTGATAGGAATCCATGAAGTAGCAGTAGAAAATACAAATGACTTAAAAAAGCTCTTCACAGAATTAATGACAGAAAACTTCCCAAACAGAGGGGAAGAGACCTACAGATAAGGGAGGCATACAGAACTCCAACTAGCCACAAGAGAAAAACCTACACCTAGACATATAATAATCAAGATCCCAGAAACCCAACAGAAGAACAAAATACTACAAGCAGTAAGAGAAAAGAAACAAATCACATGCAAAGGAAAGCCCATCAGAATCACAGAAGACCTTTCAACACAAACCCTCAGGTCAAGGAGAGCCTGGAGTGAGGTATTTCAAGTCCTAAAAGAAAACAACCTCCAACCTAGGCTCATGTATCCTGCAAAACTCTCTTTCAAATTGGATGGGGAAATAAGATACTTCCATGACAAAGAACACCTGAGAAACTACATGAACAGCAAGCCAGCACTACAAGGAATTCTAAACAGTATCCTAGAAAAGGACGATGAAGGTCACAACACCATGAGGCCCAACAGAACAAGTCAAATAGGCAAGGCAAGAAACTAAAAGGAGAGGGGGGAAAAGTAAAAAGAGTCAACACAAGGACAATAACATGACAATAAGAAGTCAGTACATATCAACTATAACCATCAATGTCAATAGCCTTAACTCATCAATCAAGAGAAACGGACTGGCAGAATGGATTAAGAGGCAAAATCCAACAATATGTTGTATACAAGAAACACACATATTGCAAAAAGAAGCCCATAGACTGAAAGTGAAAGGATGGAAAACAATTCTCCATGCTACAGGAGCCCAGAAAAAAGCAGGGGTAGCAATCTTATCTGCAGACAAAGTAAATTTCAAACCAAAACTCATTAAGAGAGAGAAAGAAGTCCACTATATCCTTGTAAAGGGAACAATTCAAGAGGAAGAAATGACAATCATAAACATATATGCACCAATATTAATGCCCCCAATATATAAAAGAAATACTAAGAAACATGAAAAACCAAATAAGCACTAATACAATTGCAGTAGGGGATCTAAATACCCCACTATCACAAATAGACAGATCATCTAGGCAAAAAATCAACAACGAAATACTAGAACTGAACCAAGCTTTTGAACGCATGGACTTAATAGACGTCTATAGAGTGTTCCACCCTACAAAATCAGAATATACATTCTTTTCGGCTGCACATGGGTCATTCTCCAAGATAGATCACATACTAGCTCACAGAACATGTTTGAATAAATGTAAAAGAATTGGAAGTTATTCCCTGTATATTATCAGATCATAGTGCAATTAAGCTAGAGATTGACAGCATAAGAAACAGTAAGAACTTCACAAACACATGGAAATTGAACAACACTCTCCTGAACAATCGATGGATCACGGAGGAAATTAAGAAATCAGACAGTTTTTACAAATAAATGAAAATGCCAATACAACATACAGGAATCTATGGGACACAATGAAAGCAGTTCTATGTGGGAAATTCATAGCACTGAATGCCCACACTAGGAAAACAGAGTGAGCTCAAATAAACAACCTAATGATGAACCTTAGACTCCTAGAAAAACAAAAGCAAGAAAAACCCAAAGCTCGAACAAGAGAGGAAATTATAAAGATTAGAGCAGAAATCAATGCAATGGAAAGTAAGAAAATGATACAAAAAATAAATGAATCAAAGAGTTGTTTTTTGAAGGAATAAATAAAATTGATAAACCCTTAACTAACCTTCTCAAAAAAAGGAAAGAAAAGGCTCAGATCCATGCAATTAGGAATGAAAAAGGTGAAGTCACAACAGATTCAACAGAAATCCAGAGGATAGTTAATATCTACTTTGAGAACCTGTACTCTAATAAAATGGAAAACACAGAAGAAATGGACAGATTTCTAGATACTTATGAATTACCAAAGTTGAACAAAGAAGATAAAGACATTTTAAACATCCCAATTACAATCAGTGAAATTGAAAATGTAATTAAAAGTTTACCAACAAAGAAAAGCCTATGTCCTGATGGATTCACTGCTGAATTTTACAAGACATTTAGAGAAGAACTACTGCCATTACTCTTCAAACTTTTCAATGAAATTGAAAGAAAAGCAATACTTCCAAATTCATTCCTGGAAGCAAGTATCACTTTGATTCCCAAACCAGGGAAAGATGCAACTAAAAAAAGAGAACTACAGGCCAATCTCCTTAATGAATATAAATGCAAAAATCCTTAATAAGATACTAGCAAACAGAATACATAAGATCACCAAGAAGATCATACATCCTGACTAAGTCGG